GATAAGAAGTGATACGGTAATGATATGATAAGATGTGATATGATATGAAAGGAAGTGATATGGTAATGATAAGATATAATGATTATGAAACATGGAGAATGATAACGACGTGACATGATAAGGTATGATAATGATAAGATATGATAAGATAATGGAGATGGATAGAAAGAGAACCTTGCGGACTGCGGTGCAATCCATTTGGAGTGCAGTTTACGAAGGACGTGATATCTGATGTAGGCGGTAATGACGCATATGTAAATGGAGACCGTGCGCAGTGCAATCGAACTGATCACGTGCATCAGCAAGAAGCAAATCCAAACGAAATGAAAACCGAACGGCGGTCTGTCCACATCGACCATGAAACTGAATCGGATCGTGAAGATCAGATAGCATATCTGCGTTATCACATCGCACATACCCATCAACGACAACTGCAATCATTCTTATCTGTTATCACTTATCAGTTGCGTTGCTGGCACTGATACTGAACACCACTGATAATCAATTATCCTCGTCACTGACAAATTATCAGTTGTGATAAGATCAGATTGATGATCAGCAACATCCCAATCGTCCTTATCAGTTATCACTTAGCAATAATGATAATAAGCAAAACGGTGATAATCATCGGCAAGCATAACTCACCAATCGATTGACAGCATTTTGTCGCATATTCGACTGATTCAGCACCATAATATGAATGGTATTCGTCACAATTCCAAATAGACTCACTAACAAGCTTAGATATTTATGGATGTGTGTATAAACACTGAAAGAGTGTACTGATGCTTCTCTTTTGTTTTTCATTGTAAAAACTTTCTTTTATCATGCAAATAAAGTAATTTAATTAACGAAATAACGAAATAGCGATATAAGTTAACGAAATAGCGAAATAAATTAACGAAATAGCGAAATAAATTAACAAAATAGCGAAATAAATCAACGAAACAGCGAAACAAATTAACGAAATAGCGAAATGAATTAGCGAAATAGCGAAACAAATTAACGAAACAGCGAAACAAATTAACGAAATAGCGAAATGAATTAGCGAAATAGCGAAACAAATTAACGAAACAGCGAAACAAATTAACGAAATAGCGAAATAAATTAGTGAAATAGCGAAACAAATTAACGAAATAGCGAAACAAATTAACGAAATAGCGAAACAAATCAACGAAATAGCGAAATAAATTAGCGAAATAGCGAAATAAATTAACGAAACAGCGATACAAATCAACGAAATAGCGAAACAAATTAACGAAATAGCGAAATAAATTAACGAAATAGCGAAATAAATTAACGAAACAGCGAAACAAATTAACAAAATTAATGAAACAACCAAATAATTAACGAAACTGATTATAAATGAAATTTCAAAACGCAACCTCGAAACCTCAATCAGCGTCTTTATAAAGTGAACGGTTGCAGGATTATTCAAGTTGAACAATTTGTTAGTATCACCTTTACATATCATTCTGTAATTTTACGGTATTTATTCTTCATGCAACAGTAATATTACCTGGATTGGCAAGCAGGCTATCAAACGTTTATAACGTTGCTGCCCACAATGCTCACGTTTCCGTGCGCATTGTTTTAGCCTCAATTTACGCCACCCGGCTGGCTAGGCGAGCAGGCCAACCGAACGAACACAACCGAGTAATTAATTAGTTGCCGTGAATATTTTGCCTAATTAATCGTAGCCAAATATCATGAATCCAATAAATAATCATAACTCTAGTATTATAAATATTCCGCCGATCGCTTGCAGCGATTGACAAAACAACCACTCGACGTAATATTATTGACAAAACGGTAATATTATTAATGCAAATATTAATTCATACTAATTATCGATATATTGTTGGATTGATTTAACGAATAAACATCAGTGGAAATAATAAATGAAGTACTACTAATCAATCGACTGATAAAAAGTACACTAATAGTTATAATTTCATATAATTCATCTATTTTTTATATCGTGTAAGAAAATCTTTATATGCACATATTTATATCTATTCACGTATTGATATGATGTTGAAAAATAGTTATATGATCAATTATAAAATATATCTAGTTTTTAAGATCATATTTTTTACATCATTTTGTATCATGTAAGAAAAAATTCTACTTTTTTATTCTATAAATCAGTCCAAAACGGATTCAATTGCGACGTTAGAATGAGGAGGGAATGAGTTGGGTATGATGTGAGTTCGAGAACGAAGGTATATAAATAGTTAATGAATGTGTGCTGACGCTGGGTGTGACTGGATTTAATAAGAGGATTGAATGCGGCGAAAGTATTTCCGAAATGAATGACATTTATCCGATGATGATGTGATTGTTGAATTCAATTCGAAGGAACGACAACGAATCGGATTGAATATTGGAGATTTAACTCAAGAGTTAGTTTAATTAATGGTGCTAAAGTTAAATTAGCGATTATTGTGTTGTTTGATAAATGCACTTTTGGATATAGACGCATGCATTGATGAGTGCTTATGAATGGATATAGGGATGCATGGGCGAATGGGTTTGTGCTATAGGAATCGTGAAGGTGATCGTCAGCATTGGATTTTTTTGGGTGCACTTTGGATGCATGAACGGATAGCTTGAATAGAGCAAGACTGTCATAAAGATTTATTAATATAAAGTATTTGGGAGGGATTTGTAGTATTGATTTGAATGATATTATTGATATGAATGTTATTGATATTACTGATATGAATGTTAGTGTTGATATGAATGTTGTTGATATTATTGATATGAATGTTATTGATATTACTGATATGAATGTTAGCATTGAAATTAATGTTCTGTAGTGATCAAATTAGCGTACATGATCTGCTGATTTGTCTATGAGTTGTCGTCTACTGTTAGAAAATTGACTGCTAAAATGGCATTATCATTTGCTTTAATATAAACTTCAATTTGTTCTTTTAAAGCCGGGTCATTTAAAATTTGAATATGAGCTGCAAAAATTGCGGCATGTTCATTAGCTAAATACTTTCTAGTGTTTTAAAAAATGTGTACGTTGAAGTCCATCCTTGCCTCCTTTATATCAGCGTGTTGAAATCCGTCCCCGCCTACGTTACGAACAATAAAACGTTATCTTGCACACTTTGGGGTAGCGAACACCACCGTTTGAGAAATCTTGATTTTTGTACATTGTAATGCAATATCTCTTCGTGTGCATAATGAATAGGCTACCAGCACTACAGCAGAGGGTGATTCTGATCGGAT